AAAAAAGAAATAAATAAAAATCTGCGTACATAGTACCTGTTTTGAGCATAGATTATACTAATATGTCATTTACTTTGGCATCTTTTTGTTTTGTTTTGTTTTGTTATGGAGTTTTGCTCTTGTTGCCCAGGCTGGAGTGCAATGGCACAATCTCAGCTCACTGCAACCTCTGCCTCCCAGGTTCAAGCGATTCTCCTGCCTCAGCCTCCTTAGTAGCTGGGATTACAGGCACCCACCACCATGCCTGGCTAATTTTTTTTTTTTCTGTATTTTTTGGTAGAGACAGGGTTTCACCATATTGGCCAGGCTGGTCTTGAACTCCTGGTCTCAGGTGATCCACCTGTCTCAGCCCCCAAAGTGCTGGGATTGCAGACATGAGCCCCTGCCCCCAGCCTACTTTGGCATCCTTAACTATAGCTTTAAAATGTTTTTTTTTGTTGTTGTTGTTGTGACATTAATGTCTTTTTCTGGTATCATTGATTTTTTTTTATAAGACTTAGTATTTTTTTTTCTGTACATATTTAAAACTGAATTTCGTTAAAAATTTGAATTGAGATCACTAAAACAAAATAGTGAGAGGTTTATAGAAAACTAGGTCAAATTATGTTTGGTACAAAATATTACAAATATTTTGAAACCCTCGGAGAGGACTCTCTGTTACCTGAACATATTTCTGTGTTGTAGTATATGCACAAAATTTTAAATCAGAGAACAGTAGGAAAAGGCAAGGCCCAAATAACCCCAGAAATTAATCCTTTAGGTAGTCGTATTAGGTAGAATCATGAGCACATTCTAATAAGTAACACTGTACTCGTGTCCCTTTAGCCTGGAAACCACTTCCTGAAACTGAACTGAGCTTTTTCATCTGTATCTGTAATGCTTTCATGATGCCTGGAAAATAGAAGAGACTTAATAAATACATGATTGATGAGTGAGTGAGCGAGTGAATGAATGAAGAGAAAAGAGCCGAAATGAAACCAAAACTGTCAAGAAAAAAATATCAAAGATCAATTCTTTTCATACTTATTTCTTACTTCTTTTGGCTACATTCTAGTTTTAAGGATCATCGATTTTAATTTAAATATATACTTCTTATTCTGTTGTCATACGATGATATTTTTAAAACTAAGAATGTAAAATCAAAGTAAATCAGAAGTGTATTATGTGGAGAATGTGGGAATGATTCTGAAAATCGTACCGTCTTTTGGAGGAAGCATTTTGGAGGTTTCTGATGTTATATTTTGACTGGGTCATTATTTGGTGTGCATTTGGTTGTTTCGTTAGATGTTTTGGGGGTAGCTGGCAAAGTGCCTTTTTTTAAAACTAGGATTTTTTTTACAAAACATCATATATTGGATTCCTATACTGCTTTCCTACTCTTTCGTGCAAAAATAAAACAGATCTTTTCTCCTTTTTTCTTCAGACACTGTTTTTCAGTTTCTGCTCTCTTTTCTTCAAGATTCAAGTTTATGCTTTTCTTTCATTTTGCCACCCATTTATATTAAATGACTCATTTGTCTCCCTTAAGCTTATAAGTAATAGTTATGTAATTTTGTTTATTAAGCTCATTATGTGATTGTTGTGTAGACATTCAGTCCTTCTACTCAGGGAACACAAAATATAAGGAAACGATTCAGATGCTTGCTATGAAGTAGTACGTGTGTAGATACTTGGTCATATTATCAGGAAAAGACCTCTAATTCTCCATATTTTCAATGTTTTCCTACTTATTTGGAAGAATAAGCAGATATGAATCTAATAACATATAGATATACACATCCAATGAAAATTACTGATACTTTTTTTTTAATAAATGGTAGCTTATTTTTATGAAAAATTTATGTGTGCTGGGAGAGCCTGATAATATGGAAATAAAATCCTGTGCTCTGAATGGTTTTTCTCGAAGACAAATCTTCTGTGTACCTGGGTGAATTAGCATGCTAATTTGGAGCATATATGATGAGAAGCATCTTCTCAGTGCTTTACAAGAAAGAATTTTAACTATTTTCCTAAGAATGATGTTAATTATCCCATTAATCTCTAAATATACCCTTTGAAGTAGGTGACTGAAATAATCTAGCCCCAAATTTTATTATTCCACTTCCAGTTTTTAAAATTGAAACCTGAGACACCAAGGTTATCATTGGTGGGACAATGTTAGAAATAGAACCCAAGCTTTTATAAAGATACTATGTATTTTGCATATCATTTCGACACAAAGGTTGTTTCTAATGTCAATTAAATCCACAAGAAGTACCCAGCAATTCTACCTGCCTTTCATCTTTACTACATAAACATAACCTTTTCTTGTTACTGAAAGTCTTGAATATTTTTAGAGGCAGAAAGCATATAGTTGAAAATGTATTCATATGAACAAGTTCCATATGAAAACTAAGGTTCCTTCCCAGCTAACTTGACCAGATAATGACTATTTCAGGCTCTCGGGGCACTGGTAAATTAATTCACTTGCTAATTTTACACATTGTGTGAGGACAGTGTTCCTGAGTTTTAAATACACAAATATGAATGATGCATGGTTTTGCTTCTGAAGAACCTGCAGTCAAAAAAGGGTAATAGTTGTATAAACAAATAAATGATAATTTGAAATATTGTTCTGTGAGCATATGGAACACAAAGCTCAGCCACCTCTACTGGTGGGTATTCAGTGAAGGCTCACTTAAAAGTGAGAGTTTAGGCCCGGAGTGGTGGCTCCCGCCTGTAATCCCAGCACTTTGGAAGGCCGAGGTGAGCGGATCACGAGGTCAGGAGATCGAGACCATCCTGGCTCACACGGGGAAACCCAGTCTCTACTAAAAAATACAAAAAAAAATTAGCCGGGCGTGGTGGCGGGCACCTGTAGTCCCCAGCTACTCGGGAGGCTGAGGTAGGAGAATGGCGTGAACCCGGGAGATGGAGCTTGCAGTGAGCCGAGATCGTGCCACTGCACTCCAGCCTGGGCGACAGAGCGAGACTCCGTCTCAAAAAATAAAAATAAAAATAAAGAGTGATAGTTTAGCTGGATTTTGAACAATAGACAAGAATTTTCTATATGAAGAGGGTTATGGGAGAGAGTCCAGCTAGAGGAAATTGTTTTGTGAAGAAGTCATGGGATGATTGGTTTGTATGGCAAAAGGTAACACTTCACTTGGCCTAGAGTTGTACACCATGGAATACTATGCAGCCATAAAAAAGGTTGAGTTCATGTCCTTTGCAGGGACGTGGGTGAAGCTGGAAGCCATCATTCTCAGCAAACTATCACAAGAACAGAAAACCAAATACCACATCTTCTCACTCATAAGTGGGAGTTGAACAATGAGAACACATGGACATAGGGAGGGGAACATCACATACCGGGGCCTGTCACAGGATGGGGGGGCCGGGGGGTGGGGGGCTAGAGGAGGGATAACATTAGGAGAAATATCCAATGTGGATGACAAGTTGATGGGTACAGCAAACCACCATGGCACGTGTATACTTAGGTAACAAAACTGCATGTTCTGCACATCTACCCCAGAACTTAAAGTATAATAATAAAAATATATATATATAGTATATATATATATATCTTATCTTTATAGCTATATAGTATAATAAAGGTGTGTGTGTGTGTGTATGTGTGTGTGAAATAAAACAAAAACATTGGCTCTGTACTTGGACTGCCTGAGTTGGAATCTCTCACTTCTGCCACTGTTTCCTGCCTGCCCTTGGATAAAACTTACTCTAAGATAAATTTTCTTCTCTGTAAAAATGGGAATGTGATAGTACTTTCCTTGTAGGATTTCTCTGAAAATCAGAGAGTATCCATTGTAAAGTTCTTAGCATGGCATATATTTAGTACTTAATACTATCAGCTGCTGGTTTTTGTTTTCTGATTTATTTTTTAATCAAAGATAAAGAGGTTAAGTTTTAAATGTTGTTATAGGATCTGACAGAATTTAAAGATAGACTCCAGGAAGGACAGCAAAAGTCAGGAAAACCAAGGAAAAGTTGGTTGTAATAACAAAGGAATGACAATATACTGTTAATGAAATACATTCACTAAAATTATCTAATTAAAATGTCTTATTTGTTTCATTTGCCACTCTGAATGTTTCATCTCTAGTATAGTAGCTCTTTGCAGACCAAATTTTCCAAGCATTTCTTTTCAAAAATTTTAACTAACCCTATCAAACGATCATACTAAAGTCTGTAAACTCATCAATCTGCATTGCGAAACAACTAACATTAAATTCTCAGCTATTACAAATGTTTGAATGGTTATAAAATTTTGTATCATATACTTTGAAAATTCTGTTCTATCCTGCATGCTCCACCATAGCTGTCAAGTATATATTCATGGAGCTAACCAGAGAGAATGCCCTTTGTCATGAGCTGATAATATAAAGGCAAAATATCAGTAAATTAATGTAAATATGGCCAGGAAGTTACAAGATTCCATCTATTTGAAATTGCCTTGGACTTTGTATTATATTGGTGTTTTGTTTATTGAATAAAGTCAGAATTTGCATTGACTATGAAAATATAGAAGATACTTTTTTAGAAGCAAAACTTTGCAGCACTTACAAGCAATTATATTGTTGAGATTTAACTTTATATATTCATTTGCTGTATCTGAAAGTCAGCTGAACAGCTGTATTTCTTAAAAATCTGGCATGGTGTTAGGACTAAACAGTTCACTCTACTGTAATGTGTAACTGTAACTTGATCTAAATGAGTCTACTGCAGAAGAGAGACTGTCCTAATGTATGAACTCTTTTACTCAGTTAAATATCATGACATAGAACCAGTCTTGATTATTCAGGAATTAGTTATCTAGTTTAGGTGGGAAATTAAATAAATATACCCTCATCATTTTTTGTAGTGGATTAATTTTTGCCCCTTTTAACTGTAATTTACAAATTTTATTTTGCTTTTGTGAACTAAGACTATCTTATTTTTTGGTGACTTTGGTTCCAATGAATACTACCAATTTAATCTATTTCTTTAAATATTCTCTTTAGTGCCCCAGGTTCTTCAAAGCTGCACAGCCTTCATTGAGAGATATGGCATTGTGGATGGAATATATCGCCTTTCTGGTGTTGCCTCCAATATCCAGAGACTACGGTAAAATCTTACATGGCACTTTTTCACTCAACTAATTAAAATGAAAACATTTTAAAATGGATTCACTTACTTTGATAACCTATTTTCATTAAAGATAATTTAGATAAAATAGGAAACAATATCTGTGTTACTCTCTGTGTATACTTTTCTAAATGGCATTTTTTGCATCTACAGTCAGAGAACCATGCACCTTAATCTCTTCAGTACTTGTAGTTTGTCTCTTTATAATGTTTGAAGATTTTAGCAAATTGAGTTTGAACCAATGACAGCCATGAGAGAGAACAATTTGCATTATAATAGAATTATTCTTTAGGTGTTAATTAAAATGGATGGGAATGGAACAGTTTCTAATCTCCTTTGACCCTGATTCTGTGTATATGTTGAAGTATGCATCTCTACATATTTCACGTTCTCCCCAAATCTTCTCTGAAACAAAAACAGTGACAAACTCTATGCCAGCAATATTTTATTTTTGCTTAATCTCTTGGATTCTAGATTATTCTTGATATGCCATCACCCTTTCTTTTTTACTGTAGTACATGGTAACTGCCATTATTCTGTAGAGATTTTAATATTTTAATGGATCACAGAGCCCATCTCAGTTTTGGGGAATATATGGCTTGAAAAATACATAAATTAGTTCTTATACTAAAGACAGTTTCAGTTTAAGACAAAGTAAATCTCATATTCATATTGTACACACACATTAATCCTCTAGGTGGATGATAAGTAGTCTCATGCCTGTGGATTAGTATTAATTAACCTCCTGGAGAGTGAGCTTAATCTCCCTTAATATTCTGTGTACAACTTTTATTTTACTCATTCTAATGATACACATTTTCCTGCCTATTAAAATTTGTTGTTAGCTAGGAGTTGCTTTATGTTGTTTCTGACTTTTTTTATCCTGCTTCAGGAAAGCATTTCTGTGTTGTACAATTTGTGTCTGAGGAATTTCTGTTCATAATTTTTCATGGATCCATTGCCATTCAGTGCTCGTCTCTGAATTGCCAAAATATTGGATATTCAAGTCATTAGCAATTAGGAGTCCTGTTTTCAGACTGTTGTACTATAAGAGCTGTTCATTCATATGTATCTCAGAGGCTATTGTTCATTTTAATATTAAAGCTGTGCCCTTAATTTCCACATGGAAAAATACCCGTCTTGTACTAAGACATCCAGTTATTGCTGAAGTCCAAACACAACTTAAATGAAATATAATAAATGGAAGATAATTGCAACTCACTGAGATAGAGCTGAACACTTTTGGGGCTTATGCTTTCTGTTTTTAAGACACGTATTTGCTCTCCTCAGTCAAACAATTTGCTTGTCTTCTTCTGTGTCAGCCATGAATTTGACTCTGAGCACGTCCCCGACCTGACGAAAGAACCATATGTTCAAGACATCCATTCTGTGGGCTCCCTATGTAAGCTGTACTTCCGGGAACTCCCAAACCCTCTGCTTACCTACCAGCTGTATGAGAAATTTTCTGTGAGTACAGGCTACTTTTGAATCTAATTCTTTGTGGAACTTTGCTGTGCTTTTGTTCAAAACACGTGACCATTGGTTTGGTCACATGTAAGAAATAGTTCTGTGACCGAAATGACTCCTTAAAAGAAAGAAATATTGCCAGCTAGTCAGTGGTCTTTGCTGTTTTCACATTGTCATTCTTGTGCTTTCTGACTTTGAGCTGCTAGTCTTGTCACCCTTAATACTGATTACCATCAAGCCTTTTTAAAATTAGTTTCGTAGACCTCAGTGTTCACACTATGCGGAAACCATTGACTTCCTTAATACAATGTTGTGTTTCCTCACCATTTCACATCCAAGAGCAAAGCAAGTTGATCTCAGAGTGAAAACTGAATTGTAAGTGAAGAACTTTCCTTTTTACCAACAGAGCTTACTAGTTTATTTTGTACTGTAACTGTTCTAGGATGCAGTTTCAGCAGCAACAGACGAAGAAAGGCTGATAAAAATCCACGATGTCATCCAGCAGCTCCCCCCACCACACTACAGGTCAGCCACAGTGGGTAAATACCAGGCAGAGGTAGAAGTCAGTTGACCTGTAAACGTTTTTTTTTTTTTTCCTTTGAATTTCTATTTAAACTTCCTTGGAGTTCTAATTAAACTTCCATTATATATATATATACACACACACACACGATGTATGTGTACATATATATGTGTGTGTTTATGTATAGATACTCATTGGTCCTTAGATCCCCAGGGCCTGGCACACTGCTTAGCATTCTATAGGTACTTAAAGGTTGAATGAGTAAGTGAATGGATGGACAAAAGGATGGCTGACTAAACTTGGGGGTTTTTTGTTTGTTTTAGTTTCTTCTTTGGTTTTATTGTTGTTGCTACTTTTTAAAACCTAATTTGATTTGTGTGTTAGTTTGGACTCTTGGAAATATTTGTGCTACGTCGTGAGAAAGCCAGAATAAAATTGAAGGTTACTTTGCCAGTTAGAAGAGGAAAACAGTAGAAACTAGATTCTAGTATGCAAAGAAACAAAAGATACATTTTAAAATTCCAGTTATTGATAAGAAATTAAATTCAGCAGATGTTCTAGTAATATGCAAATTAAGTAATTTATTATTTTGTTTTTCAAAATGACATTGCTTATATATATGTTTCAAAAATCAACACTATAGGCCAGGCGCCATGGCTCATACCTGTAATCCCAGCACTTTGGGAGGCCGAGGTGGGTGGATCACCTGAGGTGAGGAGTTCGAGACCAGCCTGGCCAACATGGAGAAACCCTATGTCTACTAAAAATACAAAATTAGCCAGGCGTGGTAGCGTGTGCCTATAATCCCAATTACTTGGACGCTGAGGCAGGAGAATCACTTGAACTTGGGAGGTGGAGGTTGCAGTGACCTGAGATCATGCCACTGCACTCCAGCTGGACAACAAAGCGAGACTCCATTAAAAAAAAAAAATTCTAATTGTGGTTTCTGTTTGATGTTTATCACCTTTGCACCATCATAAATGTCAAAAAATCATAAATTGAACCGTTGTAAGTTGGAGACTATCTGTATACAGTCTTTCTAAAACATAAGGTACTTGAGGTCATGAATTCTGTCTTGTTTATCACTGTATTTCCAGAATAGAGTCTTGCAGATAGATGTTCAATAATATACACTGCATATATATTTTATATCTTCTGTACACTATTTTATAGCTTGACTATAGATACTTAAATGTATATATATCCTAATATCCTCTTTGCCTGTCTTCTAATATATATTATATTACTTACCATGCATATATGCCCTACCTGGATTTTATACCTTGTCTGCTATTAATATGTACATGTATATCTCTTGCTTTATAATGTATACAATATTTTGTGTAACTCTTTTCTTCACTATAACTTATATGTGTGTGTATCTCCTACTTTATATATCTTTTGATGGACTTTTTATGCAAAATTTTAACATCAACATTTCTGAATTCCTCAGATGTTCCTGAAAAGCGTAATTTTCAATCGTGTTCTCTCATTTGGATATGCCATATGTTGTTTAACCTTTCACAGTTTGCATATTTAATCTATGTATATGGTGGGGTCTTTTCTGTTTCCTTTTTTTTTTTTTTTTGAGGCAGGGTTTCACTCTGTTACCCAGGCTGGAGTGCAGTGGCACAATCTTGGCTCCCTGCAACCTCTGCCTCCCAGGCTCAAGTGATTCTCCCACCTCAGCTCCCCAAGTAGCTGGGACCACTGGCACAAACCACCATGCCCAGCTAATTTTTTGTATTTTTGGTAGAGGGGGTTTTGCCATGTTTGCCTAGGCTGGTCTCAAACTCCTGAGCTCAGGTGATCCACCCACCTCAGCATCCCAAAGTGCTGGGATTACAGGTGTGAGCCACTGTGTCCGGTCTTCCTTTTCCAATTTTGAATATTACTATGAGGGCCATCCTTTTACGTGGAATCTAGATTATGTTTTTTATTAAAGGATAATGACCTGGCAGTGAAATTCTGGAAATCTAAATTTTATTCTCAATATTAGACTACAATATCCAAATTACGTTCCAGGTTGCAAAGTTTTATGCAATTCGCACTCTCATCTGCTGAATATAAAAGTGTTCATTTTGTGGAATCCTAAAATTCTACATTAACTTTTAAAAACATCTTTATAATTAGATAGGCAAACCAAATAGATGTCTTTGGTTTTTTTAATTTGCAATTCTTACAAAATACATTTCTGAAGTCCTTTAATCATTCCCTTCATTCACCTTCCACGAGTAATAAAATTTTACATGGTTTTCTAAATACATTTCTCAAGCTTCCCACCTCTATGTCATACCCAGGCCAACCTCACTTTGGTTTGTCTTTCCTTAATTATATACAGGAGAGACAGAGAATTACCATTTTAACTGTAAAGCAACTACAGTGCTCTTGAATGTGCAGGCACTTTGGAACCACTCTGACCTTGATTTGAAATGCAGCACTACCACTGCTAGTCTGTGGAACCCCGGCAACCTTGACTTTGTCTTTGGTACAAGGGGAATGGTAATTCTGTGCTTGTTGGAGCTCTTACGAGAATTAAATGAGACTGCTGGTAAAAGCCTCTTGAACAATGCCTAATGCCGAGTCTAACTCTTATATTCCTTTTCCTCTCAAATTCATGTTAGGTCCATCTGAATCTTTGTGGCTCATATGTAGACCACATTTTATCTTTTATTACTGTTTCATATAATAAAGCCTTGTATTTCTGTCTCCCATTCATTATCTCTCTTTTTTTTTTTTTTTTTTTTTTTTGTGAGACAGGGTCTCACTCTGTCACCCAGGCTGGAGTGCAGTGGCATGATCACAGCTCACTGCAGCCTCAGCCTTCCTGGGCTGAAGCAATCCTCCTGCCTTAGCCTCCCGAGTAGCTGGCACTACAGGCATGCACCACCACACCGAGCTAATTGTTTTTATACTTTTTGTAGAGATGGGGTTTCACTGTGTTCCCCAGGCTGTTCTTGAACTCTCAAGTTCAAGTGATCTGTCTGCCTCAGCCTCCCAGACTGCTGAGATTACAGGCATGAGCCATCACACCCAGCCCATCGTCTTTAATAGTTTTACCCTGGGTACTATTAGGTAGGACACTTTGAGACATGCTAGGTGATAGATAATACCTCTGTGTATGCATGCACGCACGTGCACGAGCACACACACACACACACACTCGGCACTTACCTGGTTTAACTTACATTTAAGCTGATCATGTTTTGTTCTCAGAAATACTCTTCCCTGTTGTTTAATCTCAATATATATGGAATTATTTAAGTAAAGCAAATTTTAAGTAGTCAAGATAAACCAGAATATGAGTATTTGAATTAGGCTCTTTATTTCAAAAGCATATCCTTTGCTCAAATGTTCTCCCCTTGATGCCTATTGGAATTTTTCTTTTAACTGTTTTTAGACTTTTGAGACATTACTGTTTTCTTTCATAGAAGTGTTGAAGTCCTTTCCTGTTAGTGTGTCTGCTGCAAGTAGAATGGCATAACTTCAAAATGTTATTTGTTCCAGAAACTAGCTTTGGTGAAGGATTCACTTCTAATAAGTAATATTTCAACTTGTTAAGCTTGGGTTTGTATGGTCCCTTTCTTCATTTTGCTATTGCAAACTTAGAAATTAATTAGTAGATTTTTATGTTCTATACTGCTCCATCATGTTTCTTTCTGTTAATATGTTGTATTTTATTTTCAGAACACTGGAGTTCCTGATGAGACACTTGTCTCTTCTAGCTGACTATTGTTCCATCACAAATATGCATGCAAAAAATCTAGCAATTGTTTGGGCTCCAAACCTGTTAAGGTAATTTGCATTTCACTTGTAACTTTTAGTACAACTAATCCTAAATAAAAGGCTGATTCATCAGTGTTTCTTAAGGAAATTTTTAAAAGATAAAACAAATCTGTTCTTTTTATTTGCATCTCCCTAAAACAGGCAACTGGGCCTTACCTAAGAGACAGTAAAAGTATGATTTCTGGGGGCTGGGTGCGGTGGCTCACGCCTGTAATCCCAGCACTTTGGGAGGCCGAGGCAGGCGGATCATGAGGTCAGGAGATGGAGACCATCCTGGCTAACACAGTGAAACCCTATCTCTACTAAAAATACAAAACATTAGCCGGGCGAGGTGGCGGGCGCCTGTAGTCCCAGCTACTTGGGAGGCTGAGGCAGGAGGGTGGCGTGAACCCAGGAGGTGGAGCTTGCAGTGAGCCGAGATCGCGCCACTGCACTCCAGCCTGGGTGCCAGAGTGAGACTCGCTCTCAAAAAAAAGAAAAAAAGTACGATTTCTTCCTCTGTTTGTCTGTGATTTACATGTTTAGAAAAAGAGGCCCTTTCCGAATGCTATCTTTACAACTCTGTGGTGAAAATGTTTACCTCACAGATCAAAACAGATAGAATCTGCCTGCTTCAGTGGAACAGCAGCTTTCATGGAAGTGAGAATTCAGTCTGTGGTTGTTGAGTTCATCCTGAATCACGTTGATGTGCTCTTCAGTGGCAAAATCAGCATGGTCATGCAAGAAGGGGCAGGTACGACTCAGATGGGTTCTTTCCCTACCAGGAGTGTGTGTCTGAGCTTCTGAAGAAGTGGAAAACCACACATTTCTTACCGCAACAAAAAAAAACATGTCGCTGGTATAAGGCAGCTAATAATGTATCGCTGCTTACCAAAATGCACAATTTGACAGTTACTTTGTGTGTATGTAGTGAATACTGCATATTAGACCTATTTTGATCTAAGTCCATGACACATTAAAAAACTTCTCATTCATTATTGATGTATATTAAAGTATAAAATGGAACAGAAGAAGAAAAATTCCTTCCCAAACTAAAAATATCTGAGTGATTGATCACCTTTCCTCATATCTTTTAAGAAAGGAAAACAGTTATTAAAGAGTTTTATATGTGTGTATGTGTGTTACTGGTATGTCATCTTCAGTTTTTTATTTAATATAAAGCTTTTCTCATATCTTTTAAGAAAGGAAAACAGTTATTAAAGAGTTTTATGTGCATGTATGTGTGCCACTGGTATGTCATCTTCAGTTTTTCATTTAATATAAAGCACTATGGGTTTTGCTATTTAAAATACTTGAAGAAAATTTGAAACAGCAGATAGGTAGGTAGATGGAGAGAGAGTTACTAACAAATTGAATTCACTCACACGTAGTTGACTCTCTTCATCACCTTCCTTTTCTTTTTGAAGCTTCTCTGTCAAGGCCCAAGTCCCTCCTGGTATCCTCTCCATCCACCAAACTGCTGACACTGGAAGAGGCCCAGGCACGAACACAAGCTCAGGTCAATTCTCCAATTGTGACGGAAAATAAGTATATTGAAGTAGGAGAAGGACCTGCTGCACTTCAGGGGAAATTTCATACCATAATTGAGTTCCCACTTGAAAGGTAAAATTTGTGAAATCCTATTTTAGGATATGATTTTCATAGCTATGCCCTATTATTTTCTTTTAGTTTGCTTTTAATTTTGTATTTTAGTATTACTCTATCGAATTCTAGGCTAATCCCAGAGAAACCTGTTTATTTGAATATGGATGATACTTACCACTTCATGGGGAATGATACAAATGATTCTTGCTTTACAACATCATGTAATTTTATAAAAGAAGAACGTCAGTTGTATAGGGAAAATTGTTTGGAAAAATGAGGATATACTGTCACTATATAGGGTTGATTTTTCTCTGTGAACTCTGTTGTTTATAAATTTGTTTAGAAATAAGCTGTGTTGAACAGTTTATTCAGAAAGTCAGGAATGGACAGTGACTTGTTTGACATTGGTTCCACATTAAGGTTAGAAGAGATCAATAGTGCGGTCTCCCAATCAACAGCATCAGCATCACCTGGTGGTAATTATTAGAAGTGCACATTGCCCAGTCGTCCGGTCACACCCCAGACCCGCTGAATCAGAAACCCTGGGCGTGGGACCCAGCAATTGGTCATTCATCTAACTTTCCAGGTGATTCTGATGTCTGCTAGGACTTGAGAACCACTGCAGCAGTTCACTCTTTCAATGTCCCTTCCAGCTCTGAAATTCTGTTACTCTAAAGAAATGATAATAACATGGTTTCTGTATCTTCTTTACTAGGTTATAGTAGGAAGACTAATGTATGTAAAAGTTATTTTTGATGTCTCTGCTACTCCTTTGGCTATTACACATGAATGTAAGGATTTTGATTCTCTGAATTGGGTAGTACTAATATAACTTTAGAATTTGTTCTTCCCGTATTTTAGTATACTCCTCTAACTTCCTTTCACTTCCTGTGACTAAAAACATTCTGTCAACGAAAAGTCGGAACATACTCTTTTACTTTGTCATCCTGAGTTTGTCTTCAGCATCTTGATTTTGTATTCTAGTTCCATAATTTTTTCAAAGATTTCTTTATGGAGTAGTAGTTAAGAGAGTAGATATTGGGATGTAGATAGGCCTGGGTTCCAATTCTGACTCCATCATTTAATAGTTTTATAATATTGAGGAAGTGATTTGAACTTCTTAGTGTCATAATTTCCTTGGCTGCAAAATGAGAGTAATAGTACCTACCTCATGTGGTTATATCTGATTTAAAGGAGATATTACATATAAGGCAGGTAGCACAGTGCCTGGCATTTGGTATATGTTTGTTATTATTCTTAATCCTTGTCTTATTTTTTTGCCTTTATTCTCTACTCACACCTAAATCATTTTCTTTAACTCTGTATTATTTTTGAACACTTAATATTTCCTATTCCCAGATACATCTTATTCCCACTTATTTTTCAGTTTGTGAGGTTGGATCCAAATATGAAGACATGTATAAAAATGATCTTTGTGAAAATAGTTACTAATACTAAAATCTGCATGTTTAATACCCATTTTCTGCTTTGGCTGCACTGTGTAGAGTGTGCTGTCTGGAAGGTGGATGTTTGCTTACTATTTCACTTATGCCTCTCCAGGCTGTTTGGTTCTTTCTGTCGTGTGTTCATTTCTTTTCTATAAGAAAAGACAGACCCATGGCTATCTTAATATTGATTGATTATTTTCTCTTTCATAGAAAGAGGCCTCAAAATAAGATGAAAAAGTCTCCTGTGGGTAGCTGGCGTTCCTTTTTCAACTTGGGGAAATCATCATCTGTTTCTAAACGAAAGCTGCAGCGGAATGAGAGCGAGCCTTCGGAGATGAAAGCCATGGCTCTGAAAGGTGAATGCCTGGGAGATTCTCACTTCTGCTGCTGTCATGATGGTCTTCGGTTGCTCTGGGCACATTCTTTCCATATTGTTATGATCTGCTTCCATAACATGTTCACAGTTGTGTCCCACATATGGAGTGTCTTCTTTCACCAATTCTTTATTCCTAAACTGAAAAGTAATATTATATAAATGATATATAAATATGTAGAAGTATGCAATTTCTTATCTTAAGAAAACTATATATATAGTGTAAATGGGATTAAATTCCCATATACCTTGTATATTGTTGTAAATAAATACTGCTATGGTATCTAAATTTATCGATCTGTATTTTTACAGATCTAAAAAAATTTCAAAACTGTGTTTCCACATACCTTTCAAGTTTATAACTCTTTTAACTAAAGAAGGTATTATTTATTAGGGGTCTCATTAATAGAGTATTTTATTAGATCAAATAAATCTATTACTGTTGAAAAACTGCTCTTTTAAAAATAGTTTAAAAGCCATGTTCTATTGATAGTAACAACTTCTGAATCTAGGAAGGATAGTAGTACTTTCTTCTTAGGTAGTGTTTGAAGTATAGTGTTCAATTCATTTAATTCGTCATTCACTTTGCAATCATGTAGAGCATGTGCTATTTTGATAGCAGGCTCTGCAGATAGAAGATTAAGGTAGCACCTCTGCCTTCCAAGTCAAATTGGGAAGTCATACGTGTAAGTAAGTAAATTTTAGCACAGAATCATAGTTATTGAAATAGTGGTTTAGGCTAGGTACAGTGGCTTACATTTGTAATCCCAACATTTTGGGAGGCCAAGGCGGGAAGATCGCTTGAAGCCAGGAGTTCAAGACCAGCCTGGGCAACAAAGTGAGGCGTTGCATCTACAAAAAGAAAAAAAAAAAGATAAATTGCAAATAAGCGAGGCTTGGTGGCACACACCTATAGTCTCAGCTACTCTAGAGGCTGAGGGAGGAGGATTGCTTGAGCCCAGGAGGTTGAGGCTGCGGTGAGCTATGGTTGTGCCATTGCACTCCAGCCTGGGTGACAAAGCGAGACATTGTCTCTTAAAAAATAAAAGAAATAGTTACATGAGATAGTTATAGTAGGAATTGTCAACTCTTGTAGAGGAGGGGCTAGTGATTAGAAAATACAGCCTTTGATATGGGTTGTCAAGGAGAAGTAGGGATTCACCTAACTGACAAGGGACTAAGAATGGTATTTCAAGAGATGGGAGCAGAGTGAAAAGAAGCCAGTTGAGGGCTGAATTTTGGAGAGAAGCAATGTTTAAAGGTGGGAAAGGAAGAGCTGTCATGAGAGGAGAGTAAGAAGAAGTTATTATAAAGGTAGGCAGAGAAAAAAAGATGCATGCTATCCTTAGCAGGGGAAGAGAGGGTTAAAAAGAAAGCATTCATAGTGCTGCCAGGGGTTTAAAGAGGACGAAGATATTTAGCGAATAAGATTCACATATGTACATAAAGTTACCTGTGTTCATATCCCAGAGTTCCTGTAACAAATTACCACAAGTCTAGTGGTAAAAAATAAACAGATTCTTTTTTTTTCCCTCGTGGCTCTGGAAGCTCAAAGTCTGAAATCAAGGTATCAGCAGGGCTGTGTTCTCTCCAAAGGCTCCAGGGAAAAATCCTTCCTTGCTTTTCCCAGCTCCTGGTGGCTCCTGGCATTCCTTGACGTGTGGCAGCATCCCTCCAATCTCTGCCTCCATGTCCACATGGCCGTCTCTGTGTCTCTGTGTTTTCTTACAAGGACGCCAGTCATTGGGTGTAAGGTCCACTCTACATCCGGTATGATGTCATCTCAAGATATCATATTGGTCTTTAGGAAATGTGAAAGAAAGAAGCATCTTAGTTAATCTCTATGCTCAAATTCATAATCCTTTAGAAAAGAGATTTTTCACACGGGAAACCATTTAAGAACAGTGTAACACACTATATAATAGAATACTAAATTGCTGTCAAAATGTACAGCTAATCACTCTCAAAAGTTTAAATGTATCAAGAAAAACACTGATCCCATTAACCACATATGTAACAAATAATAAATCTTCACACTATTTGTTTTTTATTCTTCAGGTGGCAGGGCAGAAGGAACCCTCCGTTCAGCTAAAAGTGAGGAGTCTCTTACGTCTCTCCATGCAGTTGATGGTAAGACTGAAAGCATCAGTCATTTTATTCTATAATGTATTGCATAAAAGAATACTGCAATTGAGTTTATTTTTATATACCTGTGCTTAATAAGTTGGCTATTAATTCATTTCCTAGGAATACTAGTATCTATTTAGTATTATTCAGATTAAAATTCATTGATGCTTTCACATGGTAGCAGTCTTTAATCTTTTCATTTTGGGCATGACTGCTATTCAGTTTACGTAAAAATAGCTGAAATATTTCAAGTTAGCCATTTATATTTATTAATGTCTAGTGAAAACTTGTGTTATTACTATTTCCTTTAAATTTTACAATGGGAGCATAATTTTATAAAGTGTATAATTAAGCAGTTTTGATATTTAGACCAGTAGTCTTTTGTCTTGCAAATGGCTTAACCTGGTCTTAAATTTCATAGATTGGATTGATTACATGTGGTCCTCATTTACAAGGATAATTAGTACTTGGAGAAGGCAACTTAAGATAAATCTTTGGCCAGACGTGGTGGCTCACGCCTGTAATCCCAGCACTTTGGGAGGCTGAGATGGGTGGATCACCTGAGGTCAGAAGTTCCACACCAGCCTGGCCAGTGTGGCGAAACTCCATCTCTACTAAAGTACAAAAGTTAGCTGGGCATGGTGGTAGGCACCTGTAATCCAGCTACTTGGGAGGCTTAGGCAGGAGAATCGCCTGAACCCAGGAGGCGGAGGTTGCAGTGAGTCTAGATTGCACCACTGCACTCTAGCCTGGGTGACAAGAGTGAAACTCTGTCTCAAAAAAAAAGAAAATCTTTTTAAAATAGGGACTAAAATTTCATGGTTAAGGGTGAAAAGAGGTTTGACTGCAGTGTAACTTAAAAAACAAAACTAAAAAATTGTGCAAATAAGTTTATTTTCTCTCTTATTTAGCAAAAGTTAGATTATGGTTATATCTATGCAGTAATTTTTAGAATAAAGAATTAAATGTCAATTTGGAGGAAGCTTTTTTTTTTAATAGAACTGTAATAGCATAATAGGACATTCTTCATTTATTTGAATTGAGTTTTGCCATTGCAGCAGAATTATAAAGAAAGTCCTTTTAAAAAAACTAACCAGCCGGGCACAGTGGCTCACGCCTATAATCCCAGCACTTTGGGAGGCCGAGGCGGGCGGATCTCGAGGTCAAGAGAGCAAGATCATCCTGGTCAACATGGTGAAACCCTGTGTCTACTAAAAGTACAAAAATTACCTGGGCGTGGTGGTGATCGCCTGTAGTCCCAGCTACTCGGGAGGCTGAGGCAGGAGAATTGCTTGAACCCAGGAGGTGGAGGTTGCAGTGAGCCGAGATCGTGCCACTGCACTCCAGCCTGGCAACAGAGCAAAAAAAAAAAAAAAAAAAAAAAAACAGGAGCTACATTGATTTCCAAAGGGCTTTTCTTAATCCAGTGATACTCAAGAACAAGTGAAATCTTGCTCTTTTGAAATATCCTGAAGTATCATCATCTTGGTCGGCTTTCTCATCTTCATTTAATAACTCTTTTAACTGCCAGATCCTCACTGATCAATGGCTTTGCTTTTGATTCCAGAAGTTCTTCCCCATCACTTTATCCAAGTGGCTGACATCATGTGAATTTTCCAAGATTTTCAGTTAAACTAGTCAAGATAACTTACAAAAACAATGCAGCAAGCTAGGTAGATACTAGTGTTAAGCAGATGTTTGTAAGGAATTAATTTTATGGGTAATCAGTACATTTGTGAATATATATATATATATGTATTTTTTTTTTTTAGACAGAATCTTGCTTTGTCGCCCAGGTTGCAGTGCAGTGGCACAATTTTGGCTCACTGCAACCTCCAACACCTGGTTTAAGTGATTATCTTGCCCAGCCTCCTGAATAGCTGGGACTACAGGCATGCGCCACCATGCCCAGCTAACTTTTGTATTTTTAGTAGATACGGGGTTTCGCCATTTGGGCCAGGCTAGTCTCAAACTCCTGACCTCAGGTGATCTGCCTGCCTCAGCTTCCCGAAGTGCTGGGATTACAGGCATGAGCCACTGTGCCCGACCAATATATTTATATTTATTAAGATAGTTTCTGCCTCTTTAAATTACTTTTTAACTATAGCAATTAAAATAATCCTAATAGAATAGTTCCTTTTTTTACCAGTTTGATATTTAGCAACATCGTAAAATTATGTAATACTCTCTGCCACTCTTGAGGACTCTGCTTGGGAAACTTAAAGCCTATTCTTAAGGGAAAAAAAAATGAGGTTCTTGTTTAGTATCTGAAAGGAATTTTTTACTAAATATACGTAAATACTTTATGGGATTGTGAAGATTTTTTCATTGAGAAGTTCAGTTTATTTAGAAATTTGAATATTATAAGGATGTTTCCCCACCAAAAAAAAAAAAAAAATCCATTTTGCTATTATAGATTCAAAACGCCAAAGTGATTAATTCCTCCTCATAAGTCATATGAGGGCCAGTGATAAAATAAGACACAAAGAAATGAAAAGCTTGCCCAAAGTCACACCAAGAATCAGTGTTGGGTTAGTAATAGAATCCAAGCATTCTGAGTTATTTTTCCTATCCAGACCATGAAATACTGCATTCACCCTCTGATTCTATCACGTGTTTGCTATTTAGCATTTGGTTTGGGAGTTCTATTATCTCAAGTTTAAATGATCTGTGTGCACTGAAAGAATTTTCAGAAAGAAAATGAGAAGTAACACTTCCTTCACCTAGACAGTAAGTTACTGCTGTGCTGAGTAGGTGACTTACCACAGCATTGTGTATCTAGGATGTTCATACTTTGACATTGTTACTCATTTTTTCCAGGTGATTCTAAGCTTTTCCGACCCAGAAGACCCAGATCTTCCAGTGACGCACTGTCTGCCTCTTTTAATGGAGAAATGCTGGGGAACCGCTGTAACTCCTATGATAATCTGCCTCATGACAATGAGAGTGAGGAGGAAGGAGGGCTGCTTCATATCCCAGCCCTTATGTCTCCTCATTCAGCTGAGGATGTTGACTTGAGCCCACCAGACATTGGAGTAGCCAGCCTGGATTTTGATCCAATGTCATTTCAATGTAGTCCTCCTAAGGCCGAATCAGAATGTCTGGAGAGTGGTGCTTCCTTTTTAGATTCACCAGGATATTCCAAGGATAAAACAAGTGCCAATAAAAAGGATGCAGAAACAGGTGGTAGCCAATGTCAGACTCCAGGAAGCACAGCAAGCTCTGAACCTGTCTCTCCTCTTCAGGAGAAACTGAGTCCATTCTTTACCCTGGACTTGAGCCCAACTGAAGAGAAATCATCTAAGCCATCCTCCTTTACGGAAAAGGTCGTCTATGCTTTCTCTCCGAAGATAGGACGGAAATTAAGCAAATCACCTTCTATGAACATATCTGAGCCAATTTCAGTGACCCTACCACCACGGGTGTCAGAAGTCATTGGTACAGTCTCAAATACCACAGCTCAGAATGCATCCTCTTCAACCTGGGACAAATGCATTGAAGAAAGGGATGCCACAAATAGATCCCCCGCCCAGATAGTAAAGATGAAAACAAATGAGACAGATGCCCAAGAAGGATGTGAATCTGAAGTCCAGCCCCTGGACCAGGTGGCTGCTGAAGAAGTAGAGTTACCAGGGAAAGAGGATCAGTCTGTCTCAAGCAGTCAGAGTAAGGCTGTAGCTTCTGGACAGACTCAGACAGGTACCGTTTGTTTTCCTCCATTCTTTCTTTAAGTTAAGAGGGATCTTCAATCCTGTGTGCCATCTGTGCCTTTTAGGAGAGAAATTTGTCCACAGCTAGCCTTTAATCAAAGAGAATGCTTTTCTTGGTGGTGCTGATGGCTCAAAGCCCTAAATTAAAAGCAGTCAAACAAAACTCCCCAAAAGGGCCAATGGTCCTGCTTCAAATCTTCACAAAAGTCCCCTTATCTCTTTGGACAGTGAGAATTCGTGGATAATTTTTGCACAACTGCGTAGCTCTTGATTCTGTTTTCTCTTCTAATAAAATATCTTTATTGTAGCCTTCCAAGTTAACAAGCCAGCCTACACCATCAAATGTAAAAACTGTTCATAATAACAGTCTGCAAGCACTTGAAGCTTGTTTTCTAAGCAATCTTTTCTGAGCCAGGTGAGGGATCTGCTTTTTTTCCCCCATCTCTGTAGCAATTCAAGAAGAGATTGCGGTCTTTATACACTGTTTGTTTTAGTTTTCCTTCTGCACCAGATGTGTTTTCTACAGCATTTGCATGTGGGATAGAAGATCATGGATTGCCATTTTGAAATATGGAAGGCACCTATTTTTTAGTGATCACATGGGGAGTGTTTGGCTTTCCATTTAGGATAACGTAAGCTACCTTTTCACTCTCATTTTTTTTCCCAATTTCCCACTAGGAGCAGTTACCCATGACCCCCCTCAGGATTCCGTTCCTGTCAGTTCAGTCTCTCTTATCCCACCACCACCGCCTCCGAAAAATGTTGCCCGAATGTTGGCGCTAGCATTAGCTGAGTCCGCACAGCAAGCCTCAACTCAGTCATTGAAGAGACCAGGGACCTCTCAGGCTGGGTATACAAATTATGGAGATATAGTGGTGGCTACAACTGAAGATAATCTGCCCAGTTCTTACTCTGCAGTTGCTCTAGATAAGGCCTATTTCCAAACCGATCGACCAGCAGAGCAGTTCCACCTCCAGAATAATGCACCAGGAAACTGTGACCATCCTCTACCAGAGACAACAGCTGTTGGGGATCCTACCCATTCCAACACAACTGAATCTGGGGAGCAATATCACCAAGTAGACTTAACAGGGAATCAGCCACATCAAACATATTTATCTGGGGACCCAGAAAAGGCCAGAATTACTTCAGTTCCCTTAGACTCAGAGAAGTCTGATGATCTTATAAGTTTCCCTGAAGACCAGTCTGGGAAGAACAGTATGCCAGCTATCTCCTTCTTGGATCAGGACCAGTCTCCACCCCGTTTCTACAGTGGAGATCACCCTCCTTCTTATCTTGGTGCAAGTGTGGATAAACCCCATCACCCTTTAGAATTTGCAGACAAATCTCCCACGCCTCCTAATTTACCTAGGGATAAAATCTTCCTTCCTTCTGGGTCCCTTGCAGACAAATCACCCACACCTCCTAATTTACCTAGGGATAAAATCTATCCTCCTTCTGGGTCCCCCGAAGAGAATACCAGCACAGCCACCATCACGTACATGACAACTACTCCAGCAACAGCCCAAATGAGCACCAAGGAAGTCAGCTGGGATGTGGCTGAACAACCCACCACTGCTGATTTTGCTGCTGCCACCCTTCAGCGCACGCACAGAACTAATCGTCCCCTTCCCCCTCCACCTTCCCAGAGATCTGCAGAGCAGCCACCAGTGGTGGGGCAGGTACAAGCAGCAACCAATATAGGATTAAATAATTCCCACAAGGTAAGAAGGGGAAGATATCAGTGAGATGAAATATACTATTACCAAAGGTATGTCACTTTTCAGCAGGGTGTGTTGTTACCTTTGAGTCAGACACAACAATTGCTTTTAAGCCCTATGGCTGGTTTCCATGAAATAATTCCCATTTGAGGTTGGAGCCTGCCGTTACCTTGATGCTGGCTTTTCCTGAGGAAAGGGAGTAGCTCCTAGATGACTATAGCTTAACTATACCTGCTCCCTTTTCTTCTAAAGTGTCTTGGTAGTTTATTCCTAGTAACACAATAAACTAGTAAAACACTAGTTTATTCCTAGTAACACTTAGTAAGACAAAGTGGGCTTTAAGGTTGTGAGTTTGTTTGGTTTTTTTTTTATTCCAACTCCATCACTGACTTATTGTGACTTTGGGCAAGTCATTTACCTACCCTCTGCCAATTATTCACAGTTACACAATGAAAATACTTCATTCTCAAAACATCCGTAAGACTGTCTGCCTTGCAGCCTTTTTGCAAGTGTAAGAGATTATAGTACCTTGGGATTTTTGTTACTTTCCTAGCATTCACCAGCAGTTTGTCCCATACTCAGGCACCTGTTTCAGTGAGAGAATGTAGTATACAGAATGCTGAGGTTTCTTCCTGAATTTCCTCATATTTTAAGAAGTGCCACAGGTTGTTTTTCTTAGTCACCTTGAACTATTAATAGGACTTCAGATTTTAGACCTTAGTGGAGGATGCTGTGTTTACTGCTTCTCAAGGATAGCATGTTTTCAGTATGAGGATTATCTTTGGCCAGACTTAAGGTGGAATCAAAGGTAGGGGAGAGGCAGTAGCCTCTGATTTGAATATTGCCTTTCCCTAGTTTTGAAGGCCTAAAAGCTGCTCACTGTGTACAACTGTGAATTTCAAAAGTCTCTCCAGATGATAGAATTAACTCTTAATTTAACAAAATGTCTTTGGTGTTGAGACTGAGCTAGACTAAAAGACCGGGTATGTATTTTTAAGCTCTACAGTATTACTTGACTAAACCTCTCTTGGTTTGTATATTAAAATCATGCCATAGGCCACCTCGCCTCGCATTTAAAACCTCTCATAAATTAGAAAACTTTGAATGGTTCTCCAGAGATAATACTATATTTATACAAAATAGCAGCACCAGCCTTCTTTTCCTATCAGTGAGTACAGATTCATTGCAACCACATGGCTTGGGAAAGTTCAAGTTGCTACCCAACCAGCCTCAATTTGTGAGTTACAAATTTAATAGTACTTGATTCATAGACGGAACAAAAAATAGACCCATAGTATTATCGTCTTTCAATAGGTTCAAGGAGCAGTTCCGGTTCCAGAGAGGCCACCTGAACCTCGAGCCGTGGATGACCCTGCGTCTGCCTTCATCAGTGACAGTGGTGCAGCTGCTGCTCAGTGTCCCATGGCTACTGCTGTCCAGCCAGGCCTGCCTGAGAAAGTGCGGGATGGTGCCCGGGCCCCGCTGCTGCACCTGCGTGCCGAGTCTGTGCCTGCACATCCCTGTGGCTTTCCTACACCACTGCCCCCCACCAGGACGATGGAGAGTAAGATGGCTGCTGCCATACACTCCAGCAGTGCAGATGCCACCAGCAGTTCAAATTATCATTCCTTTGTCACTGCTTCATCCGCCTCTGTGGATGATGCATTGCCTTTACCACTTCCTGTCCCACAACCTAAGCATGCTTCTCAGAAAACAGTTTACTCCTCCTTTGCTAGGCCTGATGTCACCACTGAACCCTTTGGTCCAGAAAACTGTTTGCATTTCAGTATGACTCCAAACTGCCAGTACCGTCCCCAGAGTGTACCTCCACATCACAGTAAATTGGAGCAGCACCAAGTGTATGGTGCCAGGTCAGAGCCACCAGCCTCCATGGGTCTTCGTTATAACACATATGTGGCCCCGGGAAGAAACACATCTGGACACCATTCCAAGCCATGCAGCCGGATCGAGTATGTGTCGTCTTTGAGCTCCTCTGTTAGGAATACCTGTTACCCTGAAGACATTCCACCATACCCTACCATCCGGAGAGTGCAGTCTCTCCATGCTCCGCCATCTTCCATGATTCGCTCTGTTCCCATTTCACGGACAGAAGTTCCCCCAGATGATGAGCCAGCCTACTGCCCAAGACCCCTGTACCAATATAAGCCATATCAGTCCTCCCAGGCCCGCTCCGATTATCACGTCACTCAGCTGCAGCCTTACTTTGAGAATGGCCGGGTCCACTACAGGTATAGCCCATATTCCAGTTCTTCTAGTTCCTATTACAGTCCAGATGGGGCCCTGTGCGATGTGGATGCCTATGGCACAGTCCAGTTGAGACCCCTTCACCGCCTTCCCAATCGAGACTTTGCTTTCTACAATCCTAGGCTGCAAGGAAAGAACGTGTACAGTTATGCTGGTTTGCCTCCACGTCCCCGGGCCAACGTGACTGGCTATTTCTCTCCCAACGACCATAATGTAGTCAACATGCCTCCGGCGGCTGACGTGAAGCACACCTACACTTCATGGGATCTTGAGGACATGGAAAAATACCGCATGCAGTCTATCCGGAGAGAGAGCCGTGCTCGGCAGAAGGTGAAAGGGCCTGTCATGTCCCAGTATGATAACATGACCCCGGCCATGCAGGACGACTTGGGTGGGATCTATGTCATCCATCTGCGTAGTAAATCAGATCCTGGGAAAACTGGACTTCTCTCAGTGGCAGAAGGAAAGGAAAGCCGCCATGCAGCCAAGGCCATCAGTCCCGAGGGAGAGGACCGCTTCTACAGGAGGCATCCCGAGGCAGAGATGGACAGAGCCCACCACCACGGAGGCCATGGTAGCACGCAGCCGGAGAAGCCGTCCCTGCCGCAGAAGCAGAGCAGCCTGAGGAGCAGGAAGCTTCCTGACATGGGCTGCAGTCTCCCTGAGCACAGGGCGCACCAGGAAGCAAGCCATAGGCAGTTCTGTGAGTCGAAGAATGGGCCCCCTTATCCCCAGGGAGCTGGCCAGTTAGATTATGGGTCCAAAGGGATTCCAGACACTTCTGAGCCAGTCAGCTACCATCACTCTGGAGCGAAATATGCTGCATCCGGGCAAGAATCTTTAAGACTGAACCACAAAGAGGTGAGACTCTCCAAAGAGATGGAGCGACCTTGGGCTAGGCAGCCTTCTGCCCCAGAGAAACACTCCAGAGACTGCTACAAGGAGGAAGAACACCTCACTCAGTCAATGGTCCCACCCCCTAAACCAGAGAGGAGTCATAGCCTCAAACTCCATCACACCCAGAACGTGGAGAGGGACCCCAGTGTGCTGTACCAATACCAACCGCACGGCAAGCGCCAGAGCAGCGTGGCTGTTGTGTCTCAGTATGATAACCTGGAAGATTACCACCCCCTGCCTCAGCACCAGCGGGGAGTCTTTGCCGGGGGCAGCCTGGGGACGTATGTACCCCCTGGCTTTCCCCATCCACAGAGCAGGACCTATGCTACAGCTTTGGGTCAAGGGGCCTTCCTGCCAACAGAGTTGTCCTTGCAGCATCCTGAAACACAGATCCATGCAGAATGAGCCCTGGAGCAATAGAGTTGAAGCAGCCTCTGCTGGACAGTGGACTGTTCTATTTTTTTCAATAACCAAAAAGATTAAAAAAAAAATACTATAAAACCCCTGGCCACATTTAAAAAAAGATAATAAAAGTAAACACATCACCATCTTTTTCCCCTTCCCTGCTTCATTACCACCTCTTCCATCTATAGACTTTGTCATTTTTGTCTTTAGAAAAGATCTGAAGGATGGTAAAACCCCGTGCTGAAACCCAGTAGAGAACCTGTCGCAGGACACAGATGTAGGGCTAGCTTGAAAGAGCCTGAGGACTGCCTTTCACTGAATTTGAATTCAACATTGTCCTTTCTTCTTAGTATTTGCTGCATAATTGAGAGCAGTTCACATCGATGTCCTGGTAGGCTTCTGCATTCCCTGTTGTGTTCCTGCTTCTCCATCAGTAGCTGCACAACTTGCCCAGATTGACACACTCTTATCACTTCATTCGCCCCATCTGAGAAGGAGCTTGTGTTCAGTTAGAGTCGTCGAAAAATCCCTGATCCTTCAAGATCAGTCAGTCAGACAGCAACATTATAATTAAAAATAAGAAATTAAGACTTTAAACATTTGGTAGAGTCATCATAAAACACCAGACCACTTAGACTCAGGCTGAACCATACTTTTTCTATTCTTATTTTCCATCCTTGTTCCTCACGGTTTAATGAATGGGCTCATATCATGACAGAAGGGATTTTTAAAAGTTAGTATTTAAGGAAACTTCTTAGGTGGAAGATAGTAAAGTTCTTATTGTCAGTGAAGTTTGTTAGCACCAGAAAACTCTTATTGATGCTTTTAATGCATTGCCTGCCTTCAGGTTTTCTTCTTACCCCACCCCTCAATAATGTTTGGTGAATTGTAATTCTAGTAAAACATGTCATACCATTGGTTTTCCTAAATTATCAGCTTTCTTTCATTAAAAAAGCCCAGCATGGTTTGACTGGATAGACACACATAATTTATAATGAATATAAATTTCTGTGTTTGTTTCTGTTTCTAAACCTGAGTACAGGATCCCTGGGAATTTAAGTAGCTACAAATTATCTATTATTAGACTGCAAGTTCCTGCAATAACTGCTTAGTACACAGCCCCATTTCATCAGTGGAGTTCTGGGCAGTTATCATTGCTGTCCTAAGCCATTACTGTCATTTGCTTACTCTGTACTTGTGTGGTCACAGTCTTGTAATTACCATCTACACCAGCATTTCAGGTATAGCTCTTTATAACTCCGGAGACATGTTAAACATGTTTAACACCTGCAACTTTTGAAAGTTGCATTCCTTATTAGAGTAGGAACTCTCTAGCCCAACTCCATTCTATGTTCTCAGCTCCCTCCACCCCACAAAATACATCAGACTAGCAAGGCAGTCCTATGTTTACAAAATGAGTTTAGATTGTCATTTCATTCCGTAACTCTTAATACTACTCAAGTTTTATACATTCACATATTTTAAACGCTCAGTCTGTAGAAGACACTAGGAGAATTGCATTCCATTTATTGGATGGTTGCTGCTCTGGCTTTTTAGAACTTGAAATTAATTTTTATTTAGAGCAGAGGAGGAAATCTTTTAAGAGGCTAAAATCATGCTGCTATTATTGCTGTGAAATTGTATAAAGATTAGGATTCATGCCAGTTTTTATTTTTAAAAATAATGTGCATTTTAAGGGTTTATATTTAGAAAAAGAAATAAAATGTTTTAAGAACAACACATTGATATGTGGGAATATTCTATAAGGTTTTCTTTTGTTCCCTTAGAATTCACTGGAGGGATGCAGTAAAAACCGTAGTAGAAACCTTGAAACCCCCATATGTGAAAAGGTCTGGAAATTGAGGCCTCTACATTAAAAGTGCAGACCCAACTGGTATATAGTCCAAGTGCTAGGAAACTTGTTAGGATACTTCCCTTTGGCACAAAAACACCCTGCGTGCTACATACAGGAGTTTGACCTTTGGTGAATATGTGGCACTAATTTTTTTTACCTTAATCGTATTTTTGTCAAATAGGCAACCCAACACCCCTTGGAGACCACACCAGCCCTGTAAGTTCTCACCAGCAGCATGGAGGTTAGGAAGAGGGGCTGCTGTGACCAGGAGATACACATGGCTTCAGTAACTGAGAGCCTGAAGGAGGTAACCCAGGGAGTCCGGCCCAGTTGTAATATTTGTGGATTTGTTGTCGCACACATTGTTTAGTCCTGAAACTAAAGCCTTTTTTATAAATAGTAGGGTTAATTCCTCAAAGCAATTTCTTTATTCATAAATGTCCTATGGGTTTAGAAATATCAGGTAAATATTTCGAATATAGAATGATGATTGCAATTACTGTTATAAGCGTGAAACACAAACTTTAGATCAAATCTAGAGTTACTTCATTTAATGCATGCTAGCAGCAGCCTTAACTTTGGATTCAGTTATTTGAGACACTTTTCCGGCATCTTTCCCTTTCTAACGTTGTGGGGTGGAAATCGGACGGCAAATCACTGTGAGCCGGATACCTCAGCACAGTCCACCGTGTGTGGCTTCACAAATAGAGTAACTGAGTGTTATTACTTTCCAATTTTGATACGGAGCATTATGATCAAGGAAGTGGAGCTGCCTTATACATTAAACCCATCATTTAATCCTGTTGACATTTTCAGAGCCCTGCCTCCGGATTTTATCTTTTTGGCAAAATTCTGATTCCACAGTTTGGTCTGATTGAAATAAATATTCCCTGGACGTCTGGCTAAAAAATTTGCTAACAATCCCAGAGGTGCCATTTTCTTACTAATAAATTTCATCTGAGCCTTATTTCTTACTATATTCAATTTCCTTTCAAACATACAAGTCCCTGGGATGGTCCCACGTGTAGGACCTGCACGTTTCTTACAATGGCAAAGCATTTTTTAAAATTTAGGGTCAGGTTGAAAAATTCTAGGACTAATTCTGTAGAGAGGAGGGACTGTTACTAACGTGAGTGGGGACAGAGGAGTAGGTTACCACATTTGGAGCAGTAGTAGACGCAAACGATGTAAATTTGAAATTTGCCCCTTTAGTTAAAGAAGGAGCCTGCAAAGTTCATTTCTCTGTTTTCAGCCCTGTCAGTCACCCATTTAGTATGTTGGCAAAGTATTGCTTGAGCAGAATGTGTAAGAAAGTAATAATGAAAGTAAAAGTATGTCAGAGAGTTACTTCTGCCACGTGGTTAGAGGCATGTGATTTTCAGCACTGTGTGTTACAGAAATGTCAGGAATGGTGTATTATAACGTGTGCAAGATAATGTCAGTGTGCACAGAGGGTTTTTCCTTATCTGATTAGTACTGTTAATGTTCAAAGAATAAAAATGGTTTTACAGTTTAGATTCTGAATAGCAAAACCTGATTTTTCAACCATGACCTGCATGAGAGAAGCATCCTAGGAAGTCTTAGATCATACTTTTGGTTTTTAATTTTAATTTATATAGTGTTTTTTTATGTCTTAATATTTTTGTGAACTGGTGTAAATTGTTAATGCATATAAGCTTGTGTATTTTTGTAAATAGTTTTGTGATTTATTTCTTGCCCCATATGTAAATATTTAGAGTCTCATTTCTTGCAAACTTATTGAAGCTGAGTTGTGGGTTTGGGTTTTGTTTGTTTCTTTGGTTGTGGGGTGGGGTGGGGGGTGGCAGGGGAGGGAAGAAGGGATTTTTTTGTACCTGGAGATGGAGATATCTTGTGGTTTAAAGCAAATGTCCCACTGAAAGCGATTCGAATATCAACAGAATTATTTCAGGTTAAAACAGACTGCTTTGTGTATGTGTTTCCTTTTTGACCTAATGTGAATGATAATGAAATAGTGGGGGTAATTGATTTGGGGAATTAGGACCAAAGGACACATGTTTTTATGACGCATCCTATTATGCCCAGTGGTACATTATTTGAGGGAAGGGGTTAAGTGTCTCCTGTTGTTTTCTATTTGCCACCTTTTGCCGCCTGGCCACGTTTCCCCCAAGTCAAACACTGTTCCCTGTAGAGTGGTGGAGGCCTCTCGATCCGTCCTGGAGGCTGCTTCCTGCTCCTGAAGGAGTCCGCGCTCTGCTCTTGCGGCCTGGTTCCCAAGTGTGCACTTCTCAGGAAACTGAATCAGCTTGTCTCAGGATCCTTCAAAGGGAATTCTGAATAAAACCATTTTTTACAGATTCCAAGGACACATCTTGGACATCCTGTTTTCTCTTAAGGGTGAAATGACCATGAAATAATCATGCCCCAGATGAGGCCACCTGCTCACAGCAAACCCAGATCAAGTGTCTGTGAGACAGTGGCTGTAGATGTGAACCAAGTACTGCAAGTGACCCAGCTGCCCAGCAGGGCTCCAGAGTTTCTTCTGCTGCCACAGTTGTCAAAAGAAATACTTAAGTATCAACCAGGACTTGAAGGTGAGGCGGGGAGGACCCTCAGTATTCAGCTGTTGAATATTAGTTTTCCTACTGAGAGTCAAATTGCAAATCATTCTTCATTTTAAGGTGTTAGGCCCTGGTTTTTTTTCTTGCCAGCAATAGGGAAAGTTGTCTGTTTATTCCAGATGGCCCTAGTAAGTCAACCGTCTTTTCTGTGCCTGCATAGCACGCTCCAGACCTCAGCAAAGACACAACATCTGCTTCAGTAAGCATCCTCAGATCTGAATAAGTGTTCCCTTGGAAACTGCTCAGATGGGATGAAAGAAAAGATACAACCAAGGCTCCACTGGGTCTTCTCAAATTTTCAGGACTCTGCTTTTCGTGCTATTTTGTCATCAAACTTATTTTACACTGACAAAAATACGGTACCTACCTCTTAAAATGTGTATCACTGAGAAATCAGTAACACACACATTCGTGGTGGTTGAGATTTTAGTTGTGGTTGTACAGGAAGAGGCACATTTTAAAGTAACACTGACTCCCCATCCAGTAAAACCTTGGGCATCTAGAAACACCAGAAATAAGATATTTTAGTTGGTCATGTTTTTCATACAGTTGGTAGTGCACCTCTGAAAAAGCATAAGGTTTAATTTTATTTTAGACACTTTAATCAAAATACTTCCAGAATATATTTCCAACCACAAATGTTGCTGCCAGTGTAGTCTCATCACATGTGTCAATAGATGACCGCACCACACACAACTTAGGGATATCCTCAGAGAGAAGATTTGCGTTTACACCAAGTGGTTTAACACCAGTTCTTTTTATATTTTTGTACCCCTTTTTTTCAGTTTTGTATGTCTTTGCTGCTGTCACTTTTTGTTACTGTCTAGGAACTACCTATGAACCCTCCTTTTCCTTTTTCTCTTTGTAATTCTAATCTGGGGAGCAAAAGTAGTTCTGAACTGGAGTCCTGAAAGGTTATCCTGAATCGTGTGGCCTTTGCGCTATCTATTTTTGGTTACTCCGAGGCTCTTGTTCTTTTCTCCTAGCAAAGGGCTTGGATAGCTGAGTCTCAGAAAGAAGATGTTCGTGTGTAAGATGCTCAGAAGGGAGAATGAAGCAAAAGCTGTGGGAGTTCACCCTGCATTTGACAGTCTGCGAGAAAGCGATGTGATTAGATGCAACAGCGTTTCTGTTAACTGCAGAGCGTTTCTCCTCGCAGGAGAATGGTAGGCTCGAAGACAGTTTGAGCATCCACAATTAAGAAACCAGAATATCATGCAGACAAAACAGCGTCAGCTGTCACCGAGTCATTTGCAATTCGTGTTCTTAATTCTCTAAAACGTTTTGAAAAGCATCCTAGATTTCTCAGCCACTAGTTATGTTTTAAGCTCAGCAAGTAGTTCTCAAACTTCAGAATCCATTTAGAACACCTGGAGAGCTAGTTAAGATTCTTGAACAACCACCAGATGGTCTGATCCATTGCGTCTGGGATTGGACTTACAAATCTAGTTTTGGTACCCACGCCACGTAATTCTGGTGCACATGGCTGAGAAATACAGATCTAGGCAGCGTATTTAATGTGCTTGCAGAAGGAGCCGTCTCTTGTTCATTGAGGTTACCACCTTTTCCCATTCACACTTTGGTTCCCCTTCACTTTGGTGACAGAAATGTATCATTAATTTCTCTCTCCTCTTGGTATAAATACTAAGCCCCAGACTCATTTGTAACAATGGCATGCAAAAATTAAAACTAATTGAACAAACTAGAAAATGCAGCGTTCTTTAAAAAGGAGGTAAAATACTGCTGACTGAATAATACCTCCTATTATATGCTTATATAATATTGTTAAGACAACCTGAGACATTTGGTCTGGTTAGGGAAGTGTAGCTAATTCATATTTGCTTTTTGACAGCTAACTTTTTCAAGTACTGCACTCTGGCTGGGTGTGGTGGCTCATGCCTGTAATCCCAGCACTTTGGGAGGCCAAGGTGGGCCGATCACCTGAGGTCAGGAGTTCAAGACCACCCTGGCCAACATGGTGAAACCCTGTCTGCTAAAAATACAAAAATTAGCTGGGTGTGGTGGCACACCTGTACTCCCAGCTACTTGGGAGACTGAGGCAGGAGAGTTGCTTGAACCTGGGAGGCAGAGGCTGCAGTGAGCTGAGTTCGTGCCACTGCACTCCAGCCTGGGCGACAGAGGGAAACTCTGTCTCAAAAACAACAACAAAAAACAAAAAAATCAAATACCGCACTCATGGAAAACAAATAGCTCATTGGACCAAATGATGTTCCTCCTTTTCTCACCAAAACTTTTACAAGAACTATCGTCATGTAATTAGCTTAAGTTTTTTCATAGTTTATCAATTCTGGGCAACGGTGCAGCAATGTTTTTAACAGCAGTAACGAACTGTGCTTACTATAGTGCCAGTTGTTGTGAGCCTTTTGCATCTGTTAACTCATTTATTTCTCATAACCCATGAGTTTGTAGATGAAACCAAGGCATACAAAGGTTCAACGCTCTGCCCAGTGGCATCCAGTGAGGAGTCCGTGTGGAGCTGAAAGTCACCTGCACACACTGACTCAGAGCTGACTTTAGAGTCGGCTGGTTGACTCTGGACTGCTACTAACTCTAAAACGTCTACTGACCCACTAAACCCTCTGAAATTATTTCTAAAACTCTGATGAAGCCACGACTTCCTGATCTCTAAAGCAGAAATAATAGTACTTATGAAGGGTTGCTGTGAGGATTCAATTAGATAATAGATGTTTGTACAGGGCTCTGCAGGAGAGCAAGTGCCAAATAGAAGTTACCCAGAACTTTTACTTTGAAATAGTGCAAGACAATAAAAGGGAAGAGGGCTGTATTATGCTGGTATCATTAAGCGTTTAACCACTTTCAATTGTATCATTAAGAATTTATTAAGGGTCAACCTTTCTGAAAAAATAAACGGGAAGTTCTCCCATGGTTGGATCTCGCAGAAAGAGAGCCTTGGCAGTTAAAATGGGACTTCACAGGGAATCCCATAGCATGATGTAGTAGTGGAGAAGGTCCTTGCTTACCATGAAGTCTGAATAACGACCAAAAAATCTTGTGGGATTATTCGGTGGAAACCATTATCCAGATAGCACTGATTATGACTACTGAACTGCGTCTACATTTCAGAACAATGTCTAGTGCTAGGCTATCTATTGCATCTGTCAACTTTCCAGTTCAGGGAAGTGGTCTCAGGAAGCTCTGTGAGCCTCACCTTCTCTGCTAGTGGTGGTGCCTTCTGCGGGTATCGCTTTCTTGTATTGCCCTGGTTGCTCATAGGCTCATTCAATACACGAGGTGGCAGGAGTAGAAGCAACATGGTGAATTTCTGCAAAAGAAGTAATGGGGGAAAACAGGCCTGGTACTTTAGAAAGCAGTTGCTAAAGAGAGATGGGTTTGACTGGGTCTCCATTTCTGGATAGTAAAACTTGGTGAATAATGAAGTTTTGTTTGTTTTTTGAGACGGAGTCTTGCTCTGTCACCCAGGCTGGAATGCAGTGGCACGATCTCGGCTCATTGCAACCTCTGCCTCCAGGTTCAAGTGAGTCTCCTGCCTCAACATCCTAAGTAGCTGGGACTACAGGTGTGTGCCACCACGCCTGGCTAACTTTTGTATTTTTAGTAGAGATGGGGTTTTGCCATGTCGGCCAAGCTAGTCTTGAACTCCTGACTTCAAGTGATCTGCCTGCCTCGGCCTCCCAAAGTGCTGGGATTACAGGTATGAGCCACTGGCCCTGGCCTCATTATTCTTAAACACATATATTTTCCTGGTTCAAGATCAGTTAAAGCAAAATGCATTTTCAGAGAAAAGAGCATAGCAATTGCACTGATAGTAGCTAATATCATTAAAAATTTATGGATCGATTATCATGTACCAGGCTATCCTAAGTATTTTGCATATATTAATATTAACTCATTCTAACAATTATGTGAGGTAACATTTTTTCTTTTATTGCCACTTTACAGGTAAATCAAGCCTAGAAAGTTTTCAGTAATGTGCCTGAGTGTATATCTCCGAGGTTAAGTGGGATTCAGGCCCAGGCTCTATGACCCCAGAGCCTGCAGTTTTTATCACTGTTTTACTGCATGCCCACTGTGTATCCTCAAAGATCATGAACCCCTAACGTAGTTGTGCCTGCGAGACTAAGACACTGTGTTGTTGATTTGCAGGGAGTGCAACTCCTCCCATTAGTGAGGTAAGGCTAGAGTTTTGCTGTAGTAACACAACCAAAATCTCAATGCCATAGACATAAAAAGAGGTGTTTTTCCTGCTCAAGGCAAGCCTGCTGCAGGTCCAGGCAACCTTCTTGGGTAACAGTCCTTTGAGCAGCCATTGGCATCCCTTACCCCCATCACCTAAGACTG